ACTCTTTTATTATTGCTACCCTCTGGTTGTAGATTATTTTTTAAAAAATACAAAATAAAACTTGGACACCTGTAATCACAGCACTAGGGAAACTGAGGCAGGAGGATCTCAAGTTCAAGACCAGCCAGGACTATACACTGTCCAAAACAATAAAAAAGAACCTTGGGGGCCTGCCCATTAGCTCAGTTGTTTAAGTGCCTGCTGAAACAAAGCAGTGAGGCTCAGGATGCTGTGGTTTCATCCCCAGATACTCATGCCAAACCAGACCTGCCTTGAAGGCATTTTGTGGCCACCAAAAAAAAAGAACCTTTACCAATGAATGAAAGTTTCCTTTGACCTAGTGCCACATGCTGTGTCCCAAAATGCTGTCCACCGTTCCCTGCATCCTTTGTGTATTGAGGGCCTCGTCTTTGTGCTGTCCCTGAGAAAACCCCACAGCCTTCAGCATTCTCCTCTGTGGTTGCAGGTTCCCTTCTTTCACTTTTTAAAGCTTTACTATTATGAAGTTTAGTGATGACAAAGCTAGGCATTGTGCTAAAACCTAGCCCTCTGGAAGCTGAGGCAGGAGGATTACCACAGGATTGAGGCCACTTTGGACTCCACAGTGAGTTGAAGACCAGCTTGGACTATACTGCTAGACCTTGTCTCAAAAAACCAAAAATGAACAAACAAACAAAAAGACAGCCTTGGTAGTAGTTGTCATTGTAGTATAAAATATTGAAAGTTTTAAAGCCAGACATGGCTTGAAAGTATTGAAAATTCAAGCCAGACATGCCAGGTCGTGTCTATAATCCCAGCACTCAGGAGGCTGAGACAGGAGGATCACTGTGAGTTTGAGGGCTAGCTAGCAAGTTCTAGGTTAGCCTGCACTACAAGTAAGACCTTCTAAAAAAAAAATAAAAAATAAAAAAAAACTTGAAAGTAACAAGTAAAACTTGTTTTCCTATAAAGGAAAACATTTAAATGCTCCCCATCAGAACTCCAGGACTCCCTGATTATCCATTTCTTTCAGTTTTCTAGAAAGTTGCCTGAATAGACAAGTATGGTGGGCTCCTTCTTTCTCAGCATGATGGTTGTCCAAAAATCTACCTGGCCGCTGAACCTGTGAAACTCATGGTCTTCTCAAGCAGGCATAGTTTTATCTCTCATATAAAGCAGTCATGCGGTGGTACATGCCTGTAATCTCAGCATTCAGGAGGCTGATGCAGGAGGGTAGCTACAAGTGCAAGGCCAGCCTGGACTCCATGTCAAGATCTTGTCTCAAAAAACAGAGAAAATCAGGCTGAGGGCCAGAGCCTGGTCCTCTTTAGAGAAGACAAAACAATCCAGATGCAACACCCCACCCATGGCAGGTGTTGGGTTCCACCCTGCGACACTGAATCTGGAGTGAATAGTGAAAAAGCAGATGGCACAGAGCTCTGGCCATTGGGGCAGTGGCACTGTCCCTTGGTGTCTCCAGCTGTCCCCAGAGAGTGCCTCTGGTTGCTCTCTGGGCCTCGCTGCCTGCCTAATGCCTGTTCCCTAGCCTGTTCCCCTTGGCCCCAACCCCCAGCTCTTCCACATCTTCTGGGTTGATTCTCTTTCTACCTAACTGGCCTGGGTTTCTGCGGCTTGCAGTGGTAAATCATGACGCCCAGTGGTCACATCAAAGATGGCGTGCAGTGATTCCTGCCTCCAGGCTGAGTATGAGTTCTGCCTCTGTGTCGCAAAGGCCATCATGGCTTGCCTGTGCCTCTTTCTCTTTGTGTTCTCATGTACTGGGAGAAGCAACAGCCACCTGTGGCAACACTGAAGCAGCCCCCAGCCTGCAAGTCATGAGATTTTGTCAGCATGGAAGTGGGTTCTCCAGGCCTGGTCAAGCTCTCAGACCCCTGACATTTTAACTGTGAGAGACCCAGGGCCAGGCCCAAGCAGAGAAATGGCTTCTGAACTCCTCACAGTCAGAACTTGTATGAGATACCTGGATGTGGTGGTGCAAGCCTATAATCCCAGCTCTTAGGAGCATGAGGCAGGAGAATAGAAAGTTCTAGGCCAGGCTAGGCTATGTAGCCAGTTGAAGTTCAGACTGGACTACCCAATAAAACTTTGTTTTTTAAAAAACAAAAGCAAACAAACAAAAGCCAGGCAGCTGGGCATGGTGGTGCCCATCTGTGATCGTGACACTTGGGAGGCTGAGACAAGAGGATTGTTGCAAGCTTGAGACTACAAGGTGAGCACAAGGCCAACCTGAATTGCATAGGGAGACCCTGTCTCAAAAAGACAGAAAAAAAAAGGTGGGCAAAGTAGCACATGCCTATAACCCTACTGCTCAAGAGGCTGAGGCAGGAGAATCACCACAGGCTTAAGGCCAGCCTCAGCTAGTGAGCTCAAGGCCAGCCTGAACTACACAGTGAGATCTTGTCTCAAACAAACAAAAAGGTGGAGTTTAAGAGCACTGCCCAGAGAAGGGATGAACATTTTCCTAATGGGGTACTTGAGATAATTCTCCTGAGAGTGTTGCAATGGTGGTAAATGTCTGTAACCCCAGTACCTGTCTGTAATTCTAGTACCTGGGAGGCTGAGACAGAGGGATTGCTACAAGTTCGAGGCCAGCCTGGGCTACAAAAGGAATTTGAGGCCTGCCTGCACTGCATAGGGAAACTGTCTCAAAAAAAGAAAAGAAAGAGAATAGAAAGAAAAGAAGAAAGAAAGAAAGAAAGAAAGAAAGAAAGAAAGAAAGAAAGAAAGGAGAGAGAGAAGTCTGGCTCTCACCCTGGGCAGCTTTTCTGGTCACAAAACCTCTGCCTACCACTGCTGCCCCTGGCATCATGGTGCCAGCTGCCATGAAGCCCTCACCAGAGCAAGAGATGCCACCACAGTGTCCTCTGTAGAACTGGGAGGTACACAAACCTCTCTGCTGTATGGAGTCAGCAGCTGCAGGCGTCTGGTCACAGTGACACAGGGATGGGATCCTGCCTTAGCCACCTATGTGCTCCAAAACCCAGTACATTCTTAGGCTCCCAAGCCATGGCTGCCTGTGCCAAGTCAGGCAGTATGCCAGGCCTCTAGCAGTGGGCAGGTAGAGTCCAGACTGGAAGGCCAAGAAGAACAGGACCCTGTGTGATATGGGGGTGGGCACCCCCCAGCCCAGGAGCAGCAAGGGCCTTCGAGGTGGGCGTTCTCTGAATCAAACCACCCCATGGAGCCCTGGAGGAGACCAGGGGACGCCTGTTCCAGGAGGAGGAAACCATGGCACTTTCCAGGAATTGTTCTGGGTTGTGTAGACCTGGACTGCACTGTTTCAAGGGACAGAGGAAGGAGAGAAGGAGCAAGAGACAGGACAAGGGGAACCAGGGCCAGATTCTGACCATGGAAGGGCAGATGTCAGAAATTGATTTGCATCCCACAAACATTGCTCCAGTTTTGCTACGTGTGATGCTGCAGGCTGATGATCCAATCACTTGGGAGGCTGAGGTAGGAGGATCACCATGAGTTCAAGGCCAGCCTGGGTTACATAGTGAAACAGAAGATTGTTCAAGCTTTAAGGTGGACAGTCAGGGCAAATCTGGGTAGTGAAGCCTGGTTAGGTGAATGCAGAGGTCCAGGAAAAGATCAATGAAAGGCTGAGCTCTGTCCTTGGCCCTGAAGACACAGCGTGGACATGAGAGTGTTATGTGGGCAACAATACCTGCAGGATGTTGTAACTAAGATGTAACCAAGAGGGGCCAAAGATATTCCATCCTGGTCTGCATGGTTATCCGGATCTGTTTGTGTCCTTCTTTGGGTCCTAAGTCCTTTTCACCTTCTATCATTTACAATCAAGAGTTTTAGCTATTACACAGGCTTGTTTAGCCAGAGAGAAATGTTTTAAGTAGCTGCACACTGGAGCTTGAGCACAAGGCCCTGAGCCCGTGACACGATGCTCTACCCCCAAGCTGCAGCCTCGGCCTTTTGTTTTCTATTTTATTTAGTTAGTTCTGGGTTTCTTTGCTTGTTTTTTTGTTTTTTTAAGACAGGGTCTCACACTGTAGCCCGGGCTGGCCTTGAACTTGTGATACTTCTACCTTAGCCTCCCAAGTCCTGGGCTGATAGTTGTGTACCACCACACTTGGTGCCCTGCCCTGTGGGTAAATCTTCTCCAGGAAAGTTTTATAGAGCAAAATCAAGAGTAGTTACCATGTGGGTCAAAAGTTTAATCAACCAGTAAGATTAGAAGTATAGGGACCGGCGAGTTAGCTCAGTAGAATAGGCCCTTGCCTGGTTAAGTACAATGTCCAGAGTTCAATCCCCGGTACCACAAAAAAAAAAAAAAAAAAAAAAAAAAAAGTATAGCTGCTAGGCTAACATTCATCCACCAGAGCAAGGATGACATCATTCCTGGTGGCCAAGGACTCTACTCTTGGTCTCATATTTAGTCTTAGTGGCTGGGAGAAGATAGCCCACCCCTAATGAGATCCCTAAAGGGTGGCATCAATAATCCCAAACTTGTATATATATCCCTCAGGGCCATTGTGATTTCAATCTTCAGATGTGGCTCCAGTGACAGTGTGCTGTGTTTTTATTCTCTGCCTGGACTCCCTTGAGGGCCCAGCCCTATCTGACTGCCTAGAATATCCCTACCTAACTCACCTGTCTAAGGAGACAGGAAGGTGACACAAGCTAGAAAAAGTCCTAGGAGCTGCAGGTCTTGGGTTTGCCCAGAGTCTGGGCAGTCTTCTCCAGGGAGCGCAGGGCCTGCTCGTACCCCAAGTCTGGGAGCTTCGCAGCCTTGCCTCAGTTGCAAGCACCATGGAAGCAAAGGAAAGAAAACTGGATGCGGCCGCTGAGTGGAAGGGGACAGAGGTGACCACCTCAGTGCTCCCAACATCTCAGACCCTGCCTGAGAAACTCTATTCCACACAGGCCTGGGGCTTCCAGAGACCCTAGAAACCGCACTCCTGTCGCCCCTCACATGTAAAAGACTCCAGGCACTCTGGTCTCATGGCCAAGTCCGCTGGCATGGTTCACTTAAGAGACAGCTGTAAGGTGGAAGGCAGGTGGCGTCTTTATTGCAAAGGCAGCAGTCCCAAACAGAAGCAATAAATACATTAGGAAATGAAATACACAGTAGGGCGTGGTTGCTTTGAGCAGACCCTAGCTCACAGGAATTGAGCATCTCCTGGGGCGGGCAGCACCCCAAGTCCATGGTGGACACCGGCTGGAGGAGGAGGGCATCTGACCTCGGGGACCCAGAGAGGCCCTAACGTGTCTGGGGGACACTGTGACCGCAGTGGCGTCAGAGTCCGCAGGAACCCTTCTCCGTGGGGCTCTGGCTGATGATTCCTTCATTCCTAGAGCTGGGTCACACAGAAGTTAAAAGAGGAAAAGGGCTAACAAGAAAAGGCCCGGATGGTGAAGGGTGCAGAGGGTGGGCTTGGGGGCAGCTGCTGCCCCGCTGGAGATGGGCGGGGAGTGGGCCTGGCCTGAGCATCCCGGCTCCCCAGGGCAAAAGCAGCCAAGAGAAGCTGACTATGAGCCAGTCGGAGAGGGAAGGATGGGAGAAAGCGGGCCGCGGGGAGGTGGGTCCCCGCCTCGGCAGGACGGCAGGGCGCTGCGGGGTGACGGCCTTCCGGAGCTGGGCGCGGGCGGGCGGGCGGGCGGCAGGGAGGCCGGCGCTAGGCGCTGAAGGCGGCCTGGAGCTCCCGAAAGGCGGCCCGGCGCTGCCTCCGCTCCTCCTCCTCCCGCCTCCGCTCGTCCTGCTCGGCCTTGAGCTCGGCCTCGAACTTGCTGGCGGACGACAGGGCCTGGGCCTGCGGAGAGAGCAGATGCGGGCGGTGGGCGCTGGGCGCCGGGCGACCCGGCAGGGTGGGCTGTGCGCGGCCTGCCGCTGCGTGGTCGCGCTGCCAGCTGTAGGGGGCGCGCTAGACCCTTTTTCTGTTTACTGATTTAGTAATAATTAATGGGAACTCAGGGCCTTTGCGCTTAGCCCTATCTCCAGTCCTTTAAAAATATTTTTTAGGTCCGAGTGCTGGGATGCATGACCGAAATCCCAGCACTCTGGGCAGCTAAGACAAGAAAATCTCAAGTTGGAGTGTAGCCTGGGCGGTGTAGCCAATAGGTGAGATCTTGCCTCAAAAATAAGTAGGGCTGGGTGGATAGCTCAGTGCCTGCCTTGCAAGAGCAAGGTTCTGAGTTTTATTCTTGATTCTGAAAAATAAATAAGTAGCCAGGGATGGTGGCAAATGCCTGTGATCCTAGCATGCAAGAGGCTGAGGCAGGAGGATTGCCATGAGTTTGGCCAGCCTGGGCTGTATAAGTGAAGTCCTGTCTCAATTAATTAATTTTAAAAAAGTAACGTTAAGACAGAATCTTGGGCCGGGGAGATGGCTTAATAGAATAAGCACTTGCCTAGCAAGCGCAAGGGCCTGAGTTCAATCCCCAGTTCTTAAAAAAAAAAAAAAAAAAAGTCTTATTAAGTGGCTAAGTTGACCAGGGTAATTCATACTTATGATCCTCTTGCTTCAGCCTTCCAGGGCACTGGAAATATGGCCACCATGCCTAGCTGGCATTTTTTTTTTAATTTAAGAATTTGCCTTAAATAACACTTATCAAATAAGTCATACAAAAGTGCTTTATTCTACAGCTGCCTCCCCCCTAGCCAATTGGTACATTTCTGAATGATTCATTGGCTGTGTATTATTATTATTTTTTTTTTTATTTTTTTGTATTTTAGGGAAGGGTCTACAGGGCATTCAGGGTCTCACTACTAGATCAGACTCCTAGTAATTCTCCTGTTTACAGCCTCCCAAGGGCTGGGATTACAGGCATGCCACCATGCCCAGTCTCAATTGCTGTTTCAGCACACCCCAGGGGTTGGGCCAGCACGGCAGGCCTGGGGATTGAACCCCTGGTCTCTGTACCTGCTTGCAGGCACTTTAATCCTCTGAGCTATTTGGCTGGCCCTTGTGTGTCATTTTAATACAGGTTATGAAGCTCCATGATGCTCCCAGCAGTACAGCCTGCAAGGACTCATTTCCCCACAACTTCACCAAAGCTTATCATTAATGTTCTTCCTTTCTGCTAATCTGAGAAGGAAAAAACATTGGCGCCTTCTTTACTTCCTCTTGGGTGAAACTCCCATTTGTATCTATTGCTTAATTTTCTATTCAATTGTTCTCTCTCTTTCTCTCTCTCTCTATACATATATATAATATGTTATATATATATAATTTAATCTTTTATTACATGTTTTTTTTTTTTTTTTTTTTTTTTTTTTTTTTTTTTTTTCGGAACTGGGGATTGAACTCAGGTCCTTGTGTTTGCTTGGGAAGCACTTATTCCACTGAGCCATCTCCCCAGCCACCTTTGCTTGTCTTCTAACTTGAAGCTATCTTGGGTCTCAGAAATATTTGCAATTTTGATGTCATCAACTTTATCAACCATTTCCTTTCTGGGATTTTGCATTTTATGTCATGTTTAAGACTTTTCAGGCTGGGAAGATAGCTCCATGGTCTAAGTGTCTGCCTGGCAAACCCAAAGACCTGAGTTTGATCCCCAGTACCACACGCTAGGCGTGGTGACACACGCCTGTAATCCAGGCACTGGGGAGGCTGAGACAGGAGAATCACTACACATCTGAGCTGCAAGGTGAGACTCTTTACCAAATAACGTATTGTAAAAACAAAAACCAAAGATCTTTTTATACCTACAAGATTCTAAATCCATTTTCTTGTAATACTACTTTTACAGTTTTGTCTTTTCATATATTTCATTAAGACCAAAAAAGCACGTCCTCGTAAGTTCATCTATTTTAGTGAGGGGTATAAAGTAAGATTCTTTTTTGACATTGGGTCTTGCTATGTAGTCTCAGCTGGTGTTGAACTCATTACGTGGCCCTGGGCTCCTGGGGCACCTGCTTCTAGCTGGGGTGGTGGTGGGAGGAGCAGATGCTGATGTTTGTGTGAATCCTTCCTTCACCATACAGCCGCGATCTGTCCAGAATGGCACAGTGGTTATTGCTGGGCATCGGCCAGTGCTGACGCGCAGGCTTGTCACACAGCCACACAACAGTCCCGACAGCCATGTTAGAGAGTGGCGAGGAAGTGACAAGTGCAGGTAAAACCCAGAATCGTTACCATCTGTTGCTCTTACCCTATGAATCACTCAAAAAAAAAAAAAAAAAAAAAAAAGATTCTTCCAATATTTGAAAATTCTAAGGAGTTGCTCAGCTCCCCGAGGAACACAGATGTTCCAATATAGAGCCTTTCATTTTTTTTTCTTAAAAATTAAGTTAGACACATTCATTTATGCTTTGCATCATAAAAGGCTGGCTTACAGATACATTAGTCCAGAAAAAATCATCTCTCTGCGAATCAACAGTAAAAGCAGCCTGGTGTGGGGGCGCCTGCCTGGAATTCAAATATTCAGGAGGCTGAGTCAGGAGGATGTAGTGAGTGAGGTCCAGGTTGGCCTCCGTAGTGAGACCTTGTCTCAAGAACAAAGAGAGAAAGAGAAAGAAAGAAAGGAAAGAAGGAAGGAAGGAAGGGAAAAGAAACCCCATACAATGAAGGCAGTATGTATTATCATTCTTCTTTGTTTTCTTTTTTTCTGAGATAGGCTGGTCTTGAACCCTTTTTTTTTTTTTTTTTTTTTATTTTTTTTTTTTGCAGAACCAGGGATTGAACTCAGGCCCCTGAGCTTGCCAGGCAAGTGCTTATTCCACTGAGCCATCTCCCCGGCCCCTTGAACTCATTTTGTAGCCCAGGCTGGCCTCAAACCCACAGAACACATAGCCATCCTCCTGCCTCAGCCTCCCGTGAGTGCTGGGATTACAGGTGTGTGCCACCATGCCCAGCCTGCATTATCATTTGTAAGTTATATGTCACATATTATTTATAAAATTTATAATACAGTAATGTATTTCTCCTACTTTCTTCAGGGAGCCAATTACTAAATATTTACCAAAAGACCACATGTAGAACTCAATTTCTTCACCTGCAAAATGAGACAGTAACACCCACCCCAGAGCGTTACAGTGACATCAGACAATCGTAATCCTCGAGCCCTCAGGCCTCTAATGCGGCCCACTCCGCCACCTGGCAGGCCTTGGGACTTCTTCCTTCCCCAGACCCCCCCCCCCCCCCTTTGCTTCCTACACCCACCACAAACCCCCCGCAGGGCGGCCCCCCCAACCCCCCCCCCCCCACTTTGCATCCTACAGCACACAGACTCCCTGCAGAGTCTGGCCCTAGACATCCCTACCAGCTCATTGGCTGGGCCCAGGACATCTGTTTTGGCCTCATCTGACCCCCACCCTCTTCTTTTCAGGGCTGGGAATTGAACCTAGTGCCTTCAGGGTGCTGGGCTACTACTGAGCTACACTCTCGGTACTAATCTCTTTTTAAAACTCCACTTTCTGGGGCCAGGCCTGGTGGTTACAATCCTATAATTCCAGTCCTCTGGGAGGCTGAGGCAGGAGGATCTCAAATTTGAACCCAACTTGGGCAATTTAGCTACTTAGCAAGACATTGTCTCAAAAAAAAGAAGAAGAAAGGAAGGAAGGAAAAAGGAAAAGAAAAGAAAAAGGCTGGGGAGATAGCCCAGTGTGAAGGCCCTGGGTTCAATCCTCCATATCACCACTACAAAAAAAAAAAAAAAAAAAAAAAAAAATTGCTCTTGCTGGGCACAGTGGTACATACCTATAATCCTAGGACTCTGCTTGTTTTTCAGGTTTGGTTTGGTTTTTGAGAGAGCCTCACCATGTAGTCCAGGCCAGCCTTCAACTCACTGCGTAGCCCATACGTATGTAACCTTGAGTGAGAGGTGATCTCCGGCCTCAGCCTCCTGGGATGGCAGCATGTGCCATCATATCTGGTTTAATCTTAGCACTCTGGGAGGCTAAGGCAGGGGATTGCAGATTCAAGCCAGTTGGGGTAATTTAGTAGGACCCTATTTCAAAATAAAATATGAAAGGGCTGCGGATATAGCTCAGTGGCACAGTGCCTGTTAGGCAAGGATGAGGTCCTGAGTTGGATTCCCAGTATTCTACCCCAAAATAATAAAAAAATAAAAATAAGGTGGAGGTGGTGCTACAGATATATCACCCCAGTATAAAGGACCTGGATTAGATCCCCAGGACCAACATGAAACAATAAGCAACATTTTTTTTTTAAATTGGTTTTGTCCTGAGCCTCCATGGTACCACATGCCCGATGTCCCAGCACTTGGGAGGCTGAGGCAGGAGGACCACAAGTTTAAAGCCATCATGAAACTCTCTTTCTCTCTCTCTCTCAAAAAAAAAAAAAAAAAAAAAAATCAACCACTGGTGGTCAATCTTGAATTCTGGGTTCCAAGCTAAGCCCTATACGGATGGCTTCTTCAGTCTGACCACTGGATGTCCATGAAATGTTCCAGCTGAGTCCATCCCTGCCCCAGGAGGGCGCACTGGGGCAACAATATCCTAGGCTTTGCTGGGTTCAGAGATGGGTGTGTGTGCAGGAATTACTGCACGGCCCTCAACATCTGGCAACCTCCCCAGGCAGCACCATGACAGCCAGGCCCAGGGATTCCCAGGAGAAAGCCACTTCCTCCTTGGAGCCAGATGTGGCAAGGTTCTGTCCAGGGGCTCAATTAGAAGCAGTGTGCGAGTAGGAGGTGCCCATCCAGGGCAGCCACGCCTCCAGCAGGCCTGAGGTTGCCTTGGATGGCACTAAAGCCAACTTCCCACCTCCCCTCTCACACCCCTAGACCCATCCCCTCCTCTGCCCTACAGGCCCTGCCCTCACCGGACCTCCACACCCCTCTGGGATCTGCTGAAGCCTTTCTGGGGTCAGTCTCCCCTGGCAGTGCCACCACTGCCCATGTCTGGTCCCTGGCCCACACCTTGAGCACCTGAACCACTGCACAGCCGGCTGGCTTGGGGCCCCCTAGCCCTGCTGCACCCAGGGGAACCAGGTGGAGGTGGCTGGGCCTGGGAGACTGTCTATGGGTGGCTCTAGTGACCAGCAAGCAGGCTGTCTCTAAAGTGTCCCTCCATGGGGATGGAAAACCAGCCTCCATGTGTGCCGTGTGATGGGGACCATAGGCCCTGGCAGTCACCTGCTGCATGCCTGAGGAGGGCCATGTTGGCCAACTTCTTGCAGCTCTTCTTTTCTTTTTCATTTTTTGACACAGGCTGACCTTGAACTCACTATGTAGCCCAGAGTGGTCTCAAACTGTCAGAGATCCTCCTGCCTCAGCCTCCTGAGTGCTGAGATGATAGGCAGGTGTGGGCCACCACACTAGGCTTTGCAGCCCTTCTTTCATCTTGGCTTCTGAGTAGTAGGTGCTCACAGCTCGGGACACCGCCCAGCCTCCGGGCCTGACTCCGCAGTTCTCACGCCTGAAACGCCTTTCCTTGCATGATTACAAGCCGAGTCCTGTTCATGTAGGAACATCTGTCTCCCTGAGGCTCCTTGATGGCCTCTCCCAGACGCTCCAGGCGCCCAGGTGTCACTCATGTGGGCCATTAACTGCGGGGCTGTAATTACAGAGCTCGCCTGCTCGGCCTCCATGTCTGGGTGAGCAGGTGTCAGGGGATGTATTGTCATGCTTTTCATCTTTCGCCTGCTTGTAAAAATAATGCACAACCACTATAAGACATTACAGCTATATGAAGTAAGCTCCTCAACTAGTACCTTTTCATAGGATTGGCTAGGTTGTATTTAATACTTAAGACATTGGTTAATATATTTCATATATTGTTTTGCTCAACTTTTTTCTTTTCTTTTTTGAGATAGGGCTTCATTGTTTAGTCTAGGCTGGCCTCAAATTTGTGATCCTCCTGCCTCAGCCTCCCACAGTGACATCTCATCCTCTGCTGGCTGCAGAGTACGCGAAGGTGCAGAGGAGCCACCTCGTGCTCGGTGCTCTGAGTGCAGAAGCCTCAGGTGCTGGTTTCCTCTCCTGCCTCTTTTACTCATGGAAACCCCACCAGAATCCATGTGTATTGGCCTGAGCACCTCCGGAGGCTGAAACCTAAGTACTAGGCCCAGAGGCCCAAGTGGCCAGGAGGAGCAGCTGGGGGTCTCCTAGAGCTGGGTCTGCAGGGTGCAGTTTGCCAGGCAGAGGCCCTGGGGGTGGGGGCTTCTGGGCAGAGGGCAAGGCAGGAGCTAAGGCCTGCTGTGCACCAGCCCCTGGCATTTGGAAGGGAGGTGGGGCTGGGTTAGGGAGCGGCCCGGGACTTAGCAGGTCTCAAGTCTGGTAAGACATCTGGGCCTCTAGCTCCTGACACTGCCCCTGCAGCAGTGCAGGGGCCCTCAGGTCCGGGACCTCCGTGGGCACTCGCAGGACCTGCAAACTGCAAACGTGACTCCCAGGGTGGAGGTAAGGACCTAGGCGGAGTCCGTGGTGCTCGTGGTTCTGTGCAGCCCCCTGGGAGTCGCAGCATATAGCTGTAACTATATAAAGCAGATGTTCTGGGTACTGCAGCCTTGAAAAGGAGCTGTGCGTTGAGCGGAAAGGGGGGTGGCTCAGCTGCAGAGCAATCCGGGAGTTGATGTGAGTGGCATCGGACTGTGGACACTGTGCTCAAGGGGAGCTCTGCAAAGAGGACAGTGACCAAACCACTGCATTAACCCTGGGTGAACTCAAGCCTCTGGAAGGGCTTGGGGTTATGCTCTGAAGATCCCCCCCAGGACCAACTGCTGTCCATAGTGCAGATTCCCACACCGGGCCAGCCCACCGGGCCAGCCTCCAGTCTCCCCCATGGTCCTGTGAACCACTGGTTTACAACACAGGTATTTAAAATACAAAGATACCCAGGTGTGGTGATGTACGCCAGTGATCCCAACCCCCGGGAGGTTGAGGCAGGAGGACTGCCATGAATTTGAAGCCAGCCTGGGCTACAGAGTGAGACCAGGCCTTTTTGCCTCAAAAAAGAAAAAGCAAACAAATAAACATACCCCTTAAAAACCAAACACTGAAGCAAATCAACCAGATGGAGGGTAAAAAGAATTTGTGGGGGGGGGTGTGTGGATACTAAGGATTGAACCCAGGATTTTCACACTAAGCTATAGCCCTAGCCCCTTTTATTTTTGAGACCAGGCCTTATTATGTTGCTAAATTGCCCATGCTGGACTCAAAACTGCTACCCTCCGGCCTTAGCCTCCAGAGTGCCCGGATCACAGGCGTGCACCACCTCCCCTGGCTTGGAAAGGATCCTTCAGGGAGATCTGAAGTGCTGTCCAGCAAACGGTTGAGCCTGAAGACAGGGCGGCCGCCCCTCGAGTGTCTCTCTGTTCTGTGCTTCTTCCTTTGCCAAGGGTGCCTAGGTGCTCGCACCCACCCCATGGCTGGTGCAGATTGCCCGGCAAGTGAATGACAATCCGGGACATGGTGGCGGGGAGCCGCAGCCCTGTGGGGGAGGAAGAGGCACCTACCTTGGCTTCAAAGAAATCCTTGGCCCCTTTGACACCCTCCAGGGCGACGTTGATCTCAGAGAGCTGTGCCAGGGCCATCAGCCCGCTGTCCTCCTGCAGTTGCCCAGCCCCTGCCTTGTGGAAGATGAGCAGGAACTGCGGGGAAGGAGCCCAGGGTCACGTCCTGTCCTCCACACCAGGGATGGGACCCCAGAACCCCTGCCCAGCCAGTCCCCATTGGGCCAAAGGTGTCTCTGTGTACATGTGACAGGGTATTCAGTCCTGTATTGGAAAGTCCAGAGCAAGAGCAAGTGGTCAGGCACAGCTCAGCATTTTCTTTTTTGTTTTTGAGACAGGATCTCACTATGCAGTTCAGGCTGGCCTTGAGCTCACTGTGTAGCCCAGGCTGGCCTCAAACTCACAGTAATGCTCCGCCGCTCCCAGCTCTTGCCTGCCTTGCCTTCCTGGTGTGCCCATATCCACCTCAGGCCCCCGCTTTTCTCACTGTCTGCTGAGCGGCCATTGCAGACCTGAACTCTTGTCACCTGTCACTTACCTATGTTTTGGGGAGTTTCTGACTTTCAGACCTTCAACATGAACCCTTTCAAATCTTTTTCTTTTCTCTCCAGAGTTGTGTTTGGAAAAAAAAATTTTTTTTTCTAGCCACCAAGGTTATATAAACAATCACCTATGTTTATGTCTACTATTTTTATGGCTTGTTTTGCTTTCAAACATCTAAATATTGAATCTCTGAATTTATTCTGATCTGTCATGTGAGATAATCATTAAGCTTATTTTCTTCCAAATGGTTACTTAGTAATCTCCACATCATTTATTAAATAATCTACCCTCTTCCTTCAGATTCAAACATGGCCTAGGTTAATGTTTGAAGCAACTTGTACTAAAGCCTGTACAGAATAAATTCCTCAATAAATAAATTGACGAAACCTACGTAGCCAGTCACCTCTTTTCCAAACTTCTCTCTCAAAGCATTTTTTCCTTGACTCTATCTCTTTAAGATAAGATAGCAATAAGGCAACTTTGTAGGAGTTTTTTTTTGTTTTGTTTTGTTTTTGTTTTTTGTTTTTTTTGAGACAGGGTCTTGTTATGCAGTTCAGGCTGGCCTTGAACTCAGTGATTTTCCTGCCTCAGCCTCCTGAGTGCCTGGATTACAGTCATGTGCCTCCACGCCTAGCCCAGCTTTCTCACTTTTTTCTTTCAGTACTTCTTATGCATTTACCTGTCAATTAACTACTATGTAACTTCAATTTGGAAAGAATATAAACCAATGGATTCCAAATCACCAAAAGAAGCTTTCTCCAAGGCTTTTAGGGGCAACCTGAAGGAGGGGCTCTGTTAGGGAAATTCCAGGCTCCATGTTCCTTTTCACAATGCCTGTCCCTAAAGGATGCCTTGGCCAAAGGCCACTGCCGGAGGAGGATCCTCCTGGAGCAGGCTTTCTCTGTGACGAGACTCACAGCCCCAAATGCCTTGCTGAGAAGCCTGTGTATCCCTGGCTCTGGGGTCCTCGGCCCTCTGAGGATGCCACAGGCACTAATCAAGTGCTGCAGTGCCCCGTGGCCAGCCACAGTGACACCCACAGGGTGTCAGACCCCCCACCAGGGGCTGACAAAGCCCTGACTGCACTAGAAAACAGTGTGTGGGGCAGGGCTGGAACTCAAGGGCCAAGCTCATCCAGGAGGAGCAGAGCAGCAACGGCCATAGCCCGGGCGGCTCCAGCCTCATCCTTAGAGCTCTGGACTGGGTCCCACAGAAACGCTTGGGGACAGAGGCTGCCTGGAGGACACTGAGGTCCCCAAGGCCATGCAGGGCTACCGCCATTTCCCTCCTGGCACACTCGCCTTCTGCCAGCTCCACCAAGATGCTGCCTTCAGGTTCGTAGGCCTCCAGGACCACAAACCCAGCAAACTTCTTTTCTTTCTAAATCAGTCAGTCTCTAGCTGGGCATGGTGGTGCACACCTGTAATCCCAGAGCTTGGGAGGTGAGGCGGATTTCCATGAATGAGAGGCCAGCAGAGACTACCTAACAGGATCTTGCCTCAGAAGAAACACCCCCAGAACAACGTTAAGAACCAACAGCCTAAAGCCCAGGCGTTTGTTCAAGTCCACAGAGCAGGTGTGCAAACTGGAAACATCAAGAATCCCGAGGTCTTTTCCACTGAGCCTGGGGCAGATCCGGGCTGTGGCTGAGCAGGTTACAAAAGCACCTGCTCCTGCCCCGGGTTCCCCAACCCCAGCTGGAAGGAAGAAAGCCTTCCCGGAAGCCCTGGGCCTCCCTGGCAGCTTCACCTCCGTCACTCCCGCCTTGGGGACAGCTCCCTTGCTGTGGACTCGCTGGCAGTTCAGGCCTCAGGGACAGGTCCAACAGAGAATGACAGGGAAGTGACCCAGCTTTGGTGGGGTGGGAGTGGAGGAGAGTGGTCACCCCTAAGAAAGCTCACACAGCTTTTAGCCTCGAATAGAAGGAGGGAACTCTCAGCTCCAAGGCAGGTGCAAGTACTTTCCCTTTGACCACTAGAGCCCTTAGCATGTAAGCGACAGAAACCAACCTGTAATTTGAAGGTGTTTGTCCCTAGATTTCTCACCATTTCCTCAGATAAGGTTCTACTAACAGTGCTGGTGTTTGGGCCGCTTCCTGGGCACCCTTTCAGGTGGGCTCTGGAGTTTGTTGTCCATATAAGGGGAGTGGGGTGATATTGGGACTGAGCCCAGGGCCTTGGGCATGCTGCACACCTGCTCCACCACCTGAGCTACACCCTCCACTTTGAATTCCCCTCCTTCATTTTTTTCTTTTTGATGATAGGGTCTCACCCTGTAGCCCAGGCTGGGCTCAAACTCATGGCAATCCTCCTGCCTCAGCCTCCCGAGTGCTGGGATTACAGGTGTGTACCAACCACCATGCCTAGCTACCCCCAGCTTCTTTAAGATTTCTAAAGCAGAATTTTGGGTGAGATATCCAGCTAGCACTCCAAGAGGCCACCCCTGTGGACCCCCAGATCCTCCCACACAAGCCTGCCAGGCTCCAGGCCTGCACGCATAGTACCTCCCGGAAGCTGAGCTTCCCGTCAAAGTCCTCGTCCACCTCCTTGATCATGCTCTTCAGGCCCAGGTGGGTCTGGGGGGCGCCCAGTTTCTCCATCATCAGCTTCAGCTCCATGAGGTCAATGAAGCCATCACGCCCAGCATCGTACCTGTGGGGCAGGAAAGGCATGGGCAAGACCAAGAGACACCTGCCCGTCTCCCAGCCTGCGAGCTCTTTGGCCTCATTTATAAAAACAATGTCTCAAAGTGGACGCGGTGGTGCAGGTCTGCAATACCAGCTCTGAGGCTGAGGCAGGAGGATCTCTGTGAGTTCGAGGCCAGCCTAAATTGCACAGAGACCCTGTCTCAAACAAACACCACAAAAAAGTGAGCACAACCCAAGTCTACGCACATCCATGCAAAGGAATATTAGCTTATCTCTCCGTGAAAAGGAAGGAAATTCTGAGATGAAACACATTGCAGGTGACTGCAAGGCCACCAGACCAAGAGAAGTAAATCAGCTGCAAAGGACGTGTATAGCAAGGCTCATGTGCACAAGGTAAATGGAGCAGTCACACCTACAGGGACAGAGCCCGGATGAGTGGTGACCAGGGTTGACAGCAGGGGAGGCACAGAGTCACCACCTGAGAGTAGAGCTGGGCTAGGACGAGGAAAAGGCCATGCAGGTTGCCTGAGCCCTGCCTGTCGGGAGCTGTCCATGTGAATGGGTTGAGCGGTTGAGTCTTTCTTTCTTTCTTTCTTTCTTTCTTTCTTTCTTTCTTTCTTTCTTTCTTTCTTTCTTTCTTTCTTTCTTTCTTTCTTTCTTTTTCCGGAACCAAGGATTGAATTCAGGCCCTTACGCTTGCCAGGCAAGCACTTATTCTACTGAGCTATCTGCCCAGCCCCTGAGTGGTTGGATTTTAAAGCCTATTTACTTTGTGTGCATGTGAGAGACAAGGTCTTGCTACAGCTCTTCTGGCCTCAGACCCACAGGGCTCCTCCTCACTTTCCCCAGGGCTGGGGTGACAGCCTGTGCTACTGAGCCTGCTTTGTTATGCATATCCTACCGTTTCAAAAAATGTAAATAAATCAAGTCACCTTTCTGCACTGTCCACCCACCTCTCCTGTAGCAAAAGGCCCCGGGAGCAGCCACACCCACAGGGACAGAGCAGAACCCCCAGGGCCACCTATGGGCAGCGGGAGATCAGAGCCTGTCAGCTGCGGTGTTCAGACCCATGGCTGCAGCTGTGGAGGGGGCGCAGGAATGCTGAGCACCCTGCTGTGGCCCAGCAGACTCAGCCACCCCAGCTCCCCAGGGCTCCGGTCGCCCCCCAGGGCTCCGGTCGCCTCCACAGTGCCCTTCTCAGGCCCTGGCATTTGTAACCTCCACCGGGCATTTCTGTCTCCAGCGGCCCGGGGCACAGCTCCTGGCTGCGAGGGTTACACTGCAACATGACATCCTGCATGTCTCCTGGGAGCCCTGAAGAACACTGGCCGTGGGCATCCCACATCCAGAAATGAGAGAGACTGCTCTGGGTAACCGGAAGTGCAGAGTTCCCAAGTCACAGATGGCCAGCTTGGACTCGAGGAGCCTTACACGGTAGTTCTGAATGCTTAGGCAGGACACAGATGGTTTCTATTTGCTTAAAATGATTGAGTCATGGACCTCATTTATCTACCTTTTTACTTTATTATTGCATTTTTTTATTTGTTTTTTTATTTTTGGTACCAGGAACTGAACTCAAAACCTCATACTCACCAGGTAGGTGTTGCGTCACTGAGCTATATTCATGGCCCTTACATTTTCATTTAAAAAAAACTAAAAAAAAAGGGGGGGCATCTGGGGAGATGGCTCAGTGGAATAAGTGCTTCCCTGTTAAGTGCAAGAGCCTGAGTTCAATCCCCAGTTCCACCAAAAAAAAAAACAAAAAAAACTTTTGTTTGGCATGGTGACAGACACCTGCTGGGAGTCTGAGGCAGGAGGACTGAAAGCCTAATCAAGCCTGAGTGATTCAGCAAGATCCTGTCTCAAAGTTAAAAACAAAAGTCTGAGGATGTAGCTTAGTGCAAAAGCTCAGTGTCCAACCCCTCCATAAATCAACAAATAAATAAAAGCTTCAAGATATAACTTTTTTTTCTCCAGAATTGGGGATTGAACTCAGGCCCTTGTGCTTGCCAGGCAAGCATTCATTCTACTGAGCTATATCCCCAACCCAAGATATAACTTGCAAACCATAAAATCTACTACTTAAGGCTGGGGCTGGTGGCACATGCCTATAATCTCATTACTCAGGAGGCTGAGGCAAAAAAAATTGTTGTGAGTTTGAGACCAGCGCGGGCTACTAAGTGAGCTCAAGGCCAGCCTGGACTGCATAGTGAGATCCTGTCTCAAAAAGACAAAAGAAAGAGACCCACATCCATCAGCAGCCATGCCCCCACCCTTCTGGGCCCAGCCCGTCTTTCTGTCCTGTGGATTTGTCTTTTGAACACCTCTGAGAAACGGGTCCCCACAGCACACAGCTTTTGCTGTCTGCCTAAGTTCATTTAGCGCAGTGTTTTCAAAGGTCACACACACAGCCATCCACGTTGCCCCTTTCTGTGGCCCGGATACCCTCCTCCTGAGTGCTGTTTCTACCTTTTGGTTCTTAGGAGCAGCACTGCTTTGAGCATGAGTAGACAGGTCTTTGGTTTGTTTTGTTTTAGTAGTCCTGGGGCTTGAACCCACAGCCTGGCGCATGCTGGACGAGTGGCTTCTCTTTGAGCTGTGTCCAGGGGCCCGTGGAACACAGGTCTGGGTAGAAACCCCGTGTCAGCATGTACTATATAACCAGCAATACCTTGTCTCAAAAAAAAAAAAAGGAAAGAAAAGAAAAAGAATTAAGGACTCTCCATCCTTGACCCCGTGACTGTTTTGGCCATTGCCTGGATCCTTGTAGTATCCCAGGTCCCTGAAGGTGCTGGTGGGGTTGACCCTTAAATCCTGTGCTTGAGAAGTTGGTTCAAGGGTCTCGGTCTCAGGCTGGCCCTGCCCTGTTTATTTGACAAGGTCTCTTCTCTCTCTCTTTTTTTTTTTTCTTTGCGGAACCAGGGATTGAACTGAGCCCCTTGCGCATGCCAGGCAAGCGCTTATTCTGCTGAGCCATCTCCCCGGCCCATTAGACAAGGTCTCAATGTGCAGTTCATGCTGACCATGCGTGGCATGCCAGGACTCAGGAGGCTGAGGCAGGAGTCTGTGGAGAGCAACCTGGGCTATATAAGCAAGTTCAATGCCAGCCTGAACTACAAAGGTGCTGTCTCAAAAAATAAAAAATAAATAAGGGCCGGCCAGATAGCTCAGCAGACTGAAGTGCCTGCTTAAGCAGAGCACAGTTGCCAGGGTCCAATCCCCAGCATGCCGCGCTGGCCCCACCCCTGGGGTGCACTGAGATGGCAATTGAGACTGGGCGTGGTGGTTCACCTGTAATCCCAGCTCTTGGGAAGCTAAAAACAGGAGAATCACTATGAGTCCAATCTATGTATAAGACCCAGTCAGTATACTCTGTCCTAAATACAAAGAATATTAAGAATAGTATAAGTGCAAGGTCCTGAGACTGAGATCCTTGAACCAACTTCTCAAGCATAAGGCTTTTTTTCTGGCAGAACCAGGGATTGAACTCAGGCCCTTGCACTTGCCAGGGCAGTACTTATTCTACTGAGTCATCTCCCTACCCCTCAAGCACAAGGTTTGAAAGTTGACCCTACCAGCACCTTTGGGGACCTGGGATACTACAGGTATTCAGGCAATGGCCAACAGTCATGGTGTCAAGGATGGAGAGTCCTTAATTTTTTTTTTTTTTTTTTTTTTGAGACAAGGTATCGCTGGTTATATAGTTCATGCTGACCTTGAACTTACTGTGCAGCCCAGCCTGACCTCAAACTTCCAGCAATCCTCCTGTCTCAGCCTTCCAAATGCTGGGATTATAGACAGGCACTACCATGCCTGGTGAGTCCCTAATTCTGAATGAAAGGGGCCACTCTCATGTCCAGTGACACTGGATTCCACTCCACACAGACCCACAGCTCAGGGAGGTTGGGCTGGTGAGTGGGAGCCCAAGGCCCCACCCAAGGACAGAGGCCAAGATGATGGCCGGCCCTGGGCCCGGCCGTGCATGCACCAGCCACTGGAGCACTGAAATGCAAGCAGAACTTTCTGGCAAAAATGGACCAGGCCAGGCCTGCAAAATCCAGGGATCACAGACACACAAGCAGGCATGGACAGGCTCCATTACAGCGTGACCAGAGTCACAGGACATGGGGCTCCATGGTGTGGAACTTTCCAGGCCTTCCATGTGGCCATGTTTGCCACTCTGGCTCATTTGGCCACATAGCCCTCTGTACCTGGGATTTTCCACTGGACAGGGTGCAGCTTGGCAGTTGAATGTGTCAAGCTGGGCTCAGTGTGGCTGTGTGCTCCTGTCATCCCAACTCTCGGGAGGCTGAGGCAGGAAGATTGAGGGGAGTTCAAGGCCAGTCTGAGCTACATATTGAGACTGTCTCAAAAAAGAAAGAAAGAAAAAAAGAAAAGAAAAGCAGAAGAGGAAGAAAAAGAGGAGGAGGGAGAGGGGTACGTTGCGGGAGTAGGACAAAAACCAGAAGCACTCAGGAGCAGCCAGCACGGTGTTAGAAGAGGTGGCAGTGTGGCTCGGGTGACGGAGCAGCCAGTACACACAGGCTGGGGGTTGAGTCCCTGGAGAACCAAAACAAATAAATCAGGGTGGCCCAGTTACATGCCAACCCAGGGCTCTCCTCTGGCAAGTTCTGGGCGAATACCTGCTGCCCTCTGCCCAGCACAACCAGCACAGATGGGAGCAGCACAACATCTTCTACAGTCAAGACGGAGTGTTGGGGGCACTGGCAGGGCTGGCAGGAAGGGACAGCTGAAGGCTGAAGGCCTGGGTGTGGACAGGGCAAAGGTCAGGGACAAGCAGGGCTTTGTCCTCAGCAGGACAGAGAAGCAGCCACTTCCCAGCTTACTTGTCCTAGAGAATGCACCCTGCCACCTACACAAGGTGACAACCAGGCAGAGCTGCCCTCCAGATGAAGTCACCTGGGACTCTCCTTGGGGACGTTCTGACATGGAAAACCTGCATGGCTTTTTTTTGGCAGTGGTAGGGGGATTTAGTACAGGGTC